CGCTACCTTCGACATGTGTGCATTCCACGAGCAGTCTTTTGCGATCTCTACTCCAAGGTATGTGTACTGGTCCACTACTGCAATCTCCTCGATCCCCCACTTCCATCTATGTTCTACTGGTTCCTCCTTGTTCTCGATGCATACCATGACGGCACTCTTCTTAACGTTGGCAAACAATCTACACTTATCAGTAAACTTCTTCGCCGCGTCAATTTGCAGTTGCAGTCCCTCAGGGGTGTCCGACATACCGACAAAATCATCCGCAAACAGCATTCCTGAAACCGACGTTTCCGTGTCCCCTACTTTTACTCCCTTCCGGACTGCCTCTACGACTTCCAACAGATCGTTGATGAACACCTGGAACAATGTTGGGGACAGCGTGCAACCTTGTGGGACCCCCTGCTCAATGTCGAAGAATTTTGACAGTTCTCCGTCTAGCATGACCGCGCTTTTCGTACACTCTGTCATCTTCTTCAGCACTCTCCACATTTTCCCCTTGATCCCGTATTTGGACAGTTGTTTCCACAACCCATTTCTCCATACGGTGTCGTATGCCTTTTTCACGTCCAGGAAGAAGCAGTACGTCGGTTTTCCCGCCCTCTTTCTATCTTGGATGATCCTCCCTGCCATGAATGCGTGGTCTACGCACCCCCTCTGCCCGCGGAAACCTGCCTGGCCCTCACTANAGCAGTACGTCGGCTTTCCCGCCCTCTTTCTACCTTGGATGATTCTCCCTACCGTGAACACGTGGTCTACGCACCCCCTCTTCTTGCGGAAACCTGCCTGGCCCTCACTAATGCTATGTTCCTTCTCCAATACTCCCACTATCCTATCGTTCAGCAGCTTACACAACACTTTTCCTACTGTGTTCAACAGTGATCCCCCTGTAGTTTCCTGTGTCAGTCTTGTCTCCTTTCGTAAATAAGTTCACAACCACTCCTTCCCTCCATCTCCTTGGCGTATACTCGATTTTCCACTCCCAATTGTACAGCAGTACCATCAGCTGGATCATCCCCTCCCCCCAAACTTCATGAACTCGTTGACTATCTCATCCGCTCCTGCTGCTTTGTGCCACTTTCAGCTTGTTCACACACGCCTCAACCTCGTCCTCAGTGAACTCC